GGCCATGACGGAACGTTTATCTTTGATTCTTCCTTCCTCGATACTTTCATGATTGTAGAGGTTGCCGGTGCAAGATGAGATGAGGAGGATGCTTCTGCTTCTGAAATCTTGTCCCTCAATGATTTGTTCGCCTCGGATAGCTCAATTGATTTCTCCCTTTCCTCGGCGTACTCATTGTGGGTTTCAGCATACCATTCATACATCTCATCTCGGCTCTCTGTCATTTCATTGTACCCGTCCTTGTAGTGCTTCGCCTCCTCTTTTGCGTTCCGAATCTCATCTTCCTCGGATGCGTGGGTTGGTAACCCGCGGTCTCTGGAACTAGGACGCTTGCTATACCGAGAGACTATGGGTGCCATTCGTGCTTCTGCTTTTAATTTCGCATTTTCCATAATGACATTCTTTGTCTCCTTCTGGCTTTCCAATAGTGCATTCTCCAGTTCTCTGATCTTCTGTTGAATTTCAGCACCATCATCGCCGAACATAGGAGCTCTCATCATATTCTCTCTTTTCAGCTGTGCGTTGGCTTCGGATAGAGCGAGGTTGGCGTCTTTCAATTGTTGTCGTTCACGGATGGAACCTTCTAGGGCTTCGTTGTTGAGTATTTCTCCTTTTGCGATAACCTCCTTTGCGACGTTTGCTTCGTATTCATGGTGGCTCGCCTTCATTTCTGCCATTTCTTTAGCAGAGACTTCAGTCTGGCATACAAACATCTCCATCCTCATGCCCACTTCCATCTCTTCTATCTCCGCTCTCGCGTTGAGTTCAGCTCCACGTGCCATAGCTAGTTGACCTCGTAGATGATCAATAACCATAGCTTCCTGATTGCTCTGATCTTGAGATGAGTGAACACTGTGTTGAAGACGTCTTTCCCTGACCTCACTGTTCCATTGTTCTTCTCTCTGGTGTTGGATCACCTCGTGCATGTTGACATTCTCATCCTGTAGCGCAATCATTCTAGCTTGTATCTGGTCAGCTATTCCGACGAAGGCTGTGTTCTCATCCTGAATGGCTTTTGATCTTCTATTGATCGCCAATGAAGATTCATTCTGTTCTTGGATGTGTCCAATTGCTGCTTGAAGCTCTTGGGACATTCTGTCCTTCGTTGCTTTCACAGATTCAAGCTCTGAATGTTCTTGATGAGTTTCTTGTGCAAGCTCTTGATATCTCATGTAGATATGTTCAGCTGTCGATTCCGCCAAGCGTAGCTTGTGTTCGAGCTCTTCAATTCTTATTGTCGCTCCTTCATCTTCCTGTGTCATCTCTTGTAGATGTTCCTGCATCTTCCTGTTGTAGTCAGACATTTGCCTGAACTCCACTTCAGCCTCGTGGTGTAGTCGTGAGTATCCGGCTTGGATGCATTCATATTCTTCATGAAGAAAATTGTATGCGTTTCTCGCCGATCTCAATTCTTCACCCAGCTGAATCTCTCTTCTTTGCTCTTTTGTTCCTCTATCATCGTCACGTCTCTTCTCTATACTCCTTCTTGGGGATCTCGCGGTAGACGTTATAGGCGATGTAGATCTTGTTGTAGCTCTCATCGATCTTCTTGGTCCTACGGGTGCAAGATCGGTCAGATTCCGAGCCGGTGGCACGGATCTTTCCGAGATTTGTGATCCAGTAGGCATAGTGATAACGTCAGCATTTGCTGATGAATCAGTACCCATTGTAGAGTCTGGTGACGAAATGGTGTTGGGACCACCAGGAGCAGCGAATGAATAGGGTTCGCTTCCATTTCCTCCTGAGCTTGACATTGCAGGTTTCTGTAATGACTAGTCTTGTTCTTGGTCTCGTGTAGCTCGTACGGCTATAAAGAGCGCGTACGGCTGATAACCTGCGAGTGGATCTTAATCAGCGAAGTTTGAAGCTATCACTGACGGTCCATAAGCGGCGTAGCGTCGGAACGGAAACCGCACCTTTTCTAGTCGCTTGATCCTTGAGCCAAAGTACATATGGTACATATATATATGTACAAGTTGCACTGTACGTGTCGCTGCACTTCCATTCGCAAAAAGCATATCTTGCTAAGTGTCCAAGGCTGTCCAACAGTGGAGTCTTGTCTACACTGCCAAAAAGAATCAATTTCCGCTTATTATATATTCAGAACTCCATATGGCTGGATATATTTGTTGAATCTTCCATCTATGTCAAATCTTGACTGTTCAATCTATAGTTCGTTCATGTTAGTTCATCTAGCTTGCTCCATGCAGAGTGCATGTTCATCCACCCCCAACCCGAAACGACCGCACGGCGCATACCGCGCGACACCGCTGTGCTGCTGCGTGCTCCCTCCCTCCGGTGTCCGGACCCCGCCCAGGCGCCGAGAGGTGCAACGTGGCCTGGAAGGTGGGCCCTGAACCTCGGTGGTGTCTAGTCCCATCCAGGGGCTGTGAATGTGACAGGTTCGCACCCCCCCTAACCTCTTCAGGTTGGTTTTCATCGCGCCCTCTCCAACGTTGGTCTCTCTGCTGGTGCCACGTTGGTCTCTCCAACGTGTGTGTCTCCAACGCGCCGGCGCCCAGGGCGGCTCCCCCCGCTCCGCTGGGCGCTCTGCTCGACGACTCCAAGGCGCCCTGGATCTTGGTGTGCAGGACCTGGACATCGGTCGCCGGTCGGATCGGAGGTCGAAGGCGAAGGCGAAGGCGAAGCTCCGGAGATCCCGAGGGGTGTTTGTCGTGGCACCGGGGGGTGGCAAAGGATGGGTGGCAAAGGATTGGTGGCAAGAGGTTCACCTTAGGTTGGTTGGTCGGAAAATATCGGGTTCACCTCTGGTTCACCACCTGTCAACCACTCTGGCGCCACAACTCGACCGGAGCGGCCTCGACACGATGGCCGGACGCAGTGTGAAAAAGGGACATCGAGTGAACAAAAAGAAAGAAACCACGCATTAAACACCAGAGTCTTCAAGTGGGAAGTCTCAGGTTTTGAGTGTTCTTCCGCCCCCTGTCAGCAGTCGTTCTGGCTCACTGAAGAAAAACATAGAAAAACCCTCCAAAAAATGGTTGCTGGTCCACCGACTAGGTCGGGAATCTTTGGTGCTCAAGTTTGGCTTTGTTGGTGCTTCGGACCGTAGGGCGCGCAACTGCGTCACAGCAAAAATAGAGGCAAAAAACACTGCGTCACGCGATGGATCAGTCGCGCTGCTCCCGCGCTGCGACTGGAACAAACATCGATTGAACAGTCGCACAGTTCTTCGGCCCCACCTCGCGGCTTCTTCACCCCCCCGGTTCCACTCATGCCTCTAATCTACCCCAGTGGGTCCGTGTGACCAGGGATTCTATGGTATATATATATAGTTTGAGTCGAATGGGAGCCATTGGGACTCCCAGCGGGCGACCTCGTGGGAACTGCCTGCCTGGATGCCTCTAGATGCCTTGGCCGTCGACCCTCCGCGCTCTCGATCCGCCTGTGCCATGGGCACGGTGCCGCCGTCCCACGTGCCGCAGGTCTTCAAGGCCGCGCACGAGGCCTCCGCATCCGCCTGGCGTAGCACGTTGCCTCGGTAGAGAGAGAGAGAGAGAGACAGAGACAGAGAGAGAGAGAGAGGTTGAGTTTTCCTCTCTCTCTCGCATGTTTTTAGGTCTTAAACTCGAGAAGAACACTCGAGTTTACCCCACCTCATGGCTTCTCACTCATGGTCACTCATGTCAAAAGAGAGTTCCTCTGAAGCGCTTTCTGTCGAGCTCTCAGTGGCACCCCCGACACCGAAGCGAAAAAAAAAATACACGTGCTCGGCCTTGCCAAGCGTTGGTTGGCACGAAATGGACCGTTCGGGGCGCCAAGGGCTGTGGGGGGTCGAAAGAAAAGAACCTGAGTGGATCATGGGCACCCCTACGGCACCCTCCATGGATGAAACCAGCACCCTGTCCTCCATGTGACTGCTTGCTCATCGGCCTTCATCAGGCTTCAGCTGTTAGGACATGTTCGGACGGTTACATTCGATATATACTGCAGGGCTAAAGGGCTTTAGGGCCTGGAGTGGCATAGGCCTTGTGGTGCAAAAAAGACTATATATAGGCACTGGACAGGCAGAAAAAAGGTTTGGCTGATTTGATTTAAGATTGTTTAAGGATCAAAATTCTAGTCGGTTTGTCACATCATGCGGACCTTTCCATGGATGTTCAATGTGTTTCAGGCATTTCACACCACCCCCTCGTTGGCTTTCTGGGTGTCTAATGGTGTGTCTACCAGGTTCCAATACGGAACACGGTGACTCCCTTCCGCTGCCACTTCCTGCCAGGCGGCGGATGTACGCGGAGAAGTTGGCCTGGCACCGGTGATGGCACCCTGTGAATGACTGGAAGTGGTTGAAGAACTTGCCACCATGATCATCATGATCATCAGGAAAAAGAAACACACGGCCACAAACACATCACATGGAAGTGGAGGTTTCCAACTCAAGAGGTCCAAGCCGCCAATTTCCGCTTGTCACAGCAGACAGTATATAGACAAAAGAAAAACTCTGGATGCGCACCCACTTTGGGTCGCAATGCCAATTCGATCCGTTTGCAAATGACATCCAAAAAATATCACTTGACTACAACTTAGGATTTGGGCCACCTGGCAGGGGATTCAAAGGCGTATATATGTCTTCTCCTTGCTTGAAAGCGGGGTTTCAACAGCGCAGGCGCCTTTAAAATGATCCACTCAAATGTTCAAAACACCACATCGGTGTGGAAAATGGGCTCCCTTCAGTCGATCTGGATCTGGTCGGACGGATGGATCAGCAACGGGACTGAAAGGTCTGTCCTGTATATCCTAAGGTCTGTAACAAATGTGTCGAGCCAGTGTCAGATCCCTCCTCGCAACCAGCCGAATCCTCTCACCACTCTCGGCCGGTCCGGGGAGACGACTGACTTAGCACCTGGGCGTTCATCTGATCAGAAGGATCTTAACATAAGTGCCTGCACCAGCACCTTCAAAGGGTCACCAATGGAAGCCCCAGCCCACCACGATCAGGCACCTCCAGACAGGACACCCCTTAAAGGTCCAGGTAGTAATTAAGGCACGGAAAGAATCGCCCATCGCGCCTGGTCCTCCTTGGCCGGCAAGAAGTCCAGGAGATTGGCACCTGCGACGGGGCAGCCCAACATGTGCTCCAGCTTCTGCATGTCTCCTGCGGTGCGGGCGCACGGAGGTCGACGGACTGAGGTCGACGGACTGAGGTGCCCGCGGTCTGAGAGTTTTTCGGCCCGCGGGGTAGTGAGACACCGTGACATCGGGGATGGAAATCAAGAGATGACCCCTAGGGCTCCCACCACCTCCTGAGAAGATGGTTGGGGTGGGTGCCAGGGGCCTCCAACCATATCCTCAGAAGGTGGTTAGACCCCCCTGGCATCTTCGAAACGGAGGTGGGCCAGGAGCCCAAACGAGGACAGAGGTCCCATCGTTGGGCTGGGTCCACATGACATGGCTATGAGTCTTGGGTCTATGCCAGCTGCTGCCAGGTGAAACAGTGGATGAATGGTAAAGGCCAACATCTCGAATACCATCACCACTGGGAGTCCAAAACCATTTTTTAAACGGTCTGACTAGGTGATCCGAGGCCGGGAACTTCCTTTACTTGGGTGGCGCCTAAAATAGTCTTTGGACTTCTAGGGTGTGTATATATACATATATATATATACCTAGAGACTCCTGTGGCAGAAATAAACGCCTTTTTGAAAAAGGCTGAAATTTCTGCCTTTTCTTAAAAAAAACGACTCCACTAAATTCCACTCAAACAAAAACGCCGCAAAAAAAAAGAAAACCGCCGTTTCTGATTTGCAACAAAACCTTACCTCTCCAATCCAGTGTTGATACATTCCAGAAAAATCCTGGAAAGATGTTCCTGGTGGCAACAAACACTGAAAACATGGATATCGATGCAACAGGGGGAGTGGTAACGTGTCGTGTTTGTGTTCAAGGAAGTGAAACACATAAAACCCATGGGCCCAAGCAAGGACCTGAGCAAAAAGAACCCGCATGCGCAATGACCAAAAAACAACACATAAACATACATAAACTTGTTTAGATCCCCGACATCCCCACTCCGCGCTGCATCTGACACCCAAGGCACTCCACTACGTTTTTTCCAACCTGGGTCGGCCTCTCCACATCAAATGTCCTCTCAATTTAAATTCGACCAGCTCGTGAGAGCCTCAAGTACCATGACCTACTTCAGCGAACATTTCCGAATGTCTTTGCTCCTTCGAAGTAGAGCACCTTTCTTTAAAAAGTGCCGTTGCAAAAGCCGACGTGTAAGCGTCCGTGTAGCAAGCTTTCTGCTTAGCCTGCAAATTCTCCCTACAGTATCTTCGTTTGGCTCGCAGGCAAAGCAAAGCGGGTTCAACAGCAATGGTGCGCCTCTTTGAAGAGCATCCTTCACAAACTGTGCAACGTGGTGTAGCCCATGAAATTTGGGTTTCAAGCGGTAACCACCAATCTGCAATGTCATGGTACGCCGGGCCAAGGCCTTGTAGCCTCTTAACATCAGCATACATCGAGTATACAAGAGCCGGCCACAAGACCGCTTGATCCATAGCGGATGGGAATGCATAATGTGGAACATTGACTGGGCACTCTCGATGGTATGCTTCAACAGCTTGAAAAACTGCACATGCTCAGGTGGAGAATCACCCCGAGTCAAGAGCAACAGCGAAACTAGCCAAAGCAACCAGCGTAACATCAGCATCGTGTCTGATCCTTTGGAGTTTGTCCATGGCGACGAACTTTTGTTGGCAATGTTGAAGAACTGAACGGTGAATGAACGCAAGCCTGCTTTACACCGGTTTGCAAGGCACCAAAGTTCAAAGGACTTGTGCGCCCGCTCAAGCCTTGAAGGAAAAGCTAGGCTTTCATCTGGAGCGTTTGGGTCATCGAAATGTCCAAGACGAGCTAGGGTTGCAATACTGCTGCCACAAATGTCCCTACCCATGCCAACCTTGAACAGGTGGAAGGGGTCAAGAGTATACATCTTTTCAGGTGCTTGAGCATTGAAAGGAAGCAAGCCCAAAGGAGGGGTGTTGTCCCAAGGCTTCACTGCGTAAAGAGTCTGCAGCCATTGAGGGTTGTTTGCACAATCTGTGAAAGGTACACCGTCTGTGCCTGCAAGGCAAAGGCTGCACATGCCACTCTTTTGTTTACCACTCATCGTATGGTACGATCTGTTGAGGTTTCCCAGCTGCATTTGATGCTTCATGTCCCCCTTGGAGCCTATGCAGCAAGCAAAGTATCTTTGTCCTGGAATGTTTGCTGCAAAAGAAACACATGTAGGGAAACAAACATTTTTATGAGGAAACATTAACTACTGTGAAAATATGCGAAGCAACCAAAGTCCTTCAAACATGAAGCCAGTCTGTAGCAATTCCATCAAGTCCCTTGTCATCAAGAGCACATGCTCATCAATGACATTGCGGTTTTTGCAGTACAGCCAGTGGGGAACTCCAAATAAAAGGTGTCTCGTGGTGAAACTGTGTTGCTTGTAGTTCGTCGATTGCTCAGACGCGTGTTTCAGGAGTGCAGCATCCAAGTCCTGCACTACCTCATCTGAAGGCAAATCCATTGAAGGCATCCGGCCAATCTCACACTCACATTCACATGGCGTGTTTGCATATTTTGCCACTCCTATCGGAGACTCTATCGTGTAGATCAGAAAAACTCCACGTTTGGGGCCCCTGCCTTCATCCCCATACACGCAAAGGGGAATAGTTCGAGACAATTGTTCTTCTGTACGTATATTGAACACTTCATGATCCGGCTCTTGATGCCGGTAGAGCGCCCAAAAAGCTGAACAGTTTTCTTTGGCGAGACCTTCCCCAAAGAGCGACGCTGGGTTCTTTGAAAGCAACACTCTCAACCATGTCGATGGTTTCACCCAATGCGTGGTCACAGCACCAGTCTCAATTTCATGTACAATTTCCTCTATATTCACTGGCAAGGATAAACCCAGTGCCGCGAACTTCCGGTGTAAGTCACGTTCAGCATTGGCTTTCCTTTTGTCTCTATCACGTTCACACCCAGGCTTGGCAGATACAGCAGTAAGGGCCAGCTTGGTGTCCACTCCAGTGACCTGCAGAGCTGTGCCGCTTTGTGAGTGTACTGTTCACTCAATGATGCAACACTGCAATGACAGCTCTCAATATAATATCACATAAATATAACATCAAAATTCTTTGTAAAATCTCTCTAGTTTGGCAAACTCTGAGAAGACAAACCGCTTTGATTCTATGTGAGGAATAACAAAGCTTGAGTACATAAGCTCGAAGGCATAGAATCGGAAACGCGGAACTCACACAAACTGAATCCAATGCTGCTAGTTGAAATTCCTTTCGCAGCACTTCAGCGTATTTGTAGAATGCTGTGCGCAAGTCTGCTGGGACAACAAACCATAACAAATGAACATGACACCCAACTGGTGACTCTCATCCTTTGACATGAACCTGTCACACAAAACCATGTGTGCACCCAAGTGAGACTTGGGAGATCTTGGAAGCACACGCTTGGTTCCCAACTCCATCGCCAAATGATTCTGCAAGCTGTTCCTCAAGAGGCCCAGCCGTTTCACTTTCGCCTGGCTGCATTAGGATCAGGATGAGAGAAGTGAGGAAAAACAACAGTGCGCCAGAAGAAGCTCGAACTCCACCGAAATCAATGGGCACCGCCACACAAATTCTTAGGAGTCACCGTTTTTTCTTTCGCACTTCCACACGTGTTTGGTCGGTGTGCAGCTGGATGCTATTCTGCGTCCTCACACTGCCCTACTCCAGCCAAACTCTAAGGCACCAAAAAGTGGACCATGTTCCATCATGGACATGGCCAACCAAACTTGCCCCTCGTGCAAATGTTGGGCTTTAAGGCTCAGCACGTGATTTGCCTTTTGCCTTGGCTTTCGCCTTCCCCTTCGCAGCACTACGATTCTCAGCCGACTTGGCCGAGGTTTTACCAAGACTCTTCAGAGCACTCCTCAGAGCAAGCGAAAGCCAGCAGATAGTCTGTTTGAACCTCCATCACTTGAATAAAATGTATAGCAATGGGCCCCCCAGCTTCACCCGCGGCAGCAAAAGAGTAGCTTCGATGGCCCTAGGCACCAGGAAAACAATCAAAGCTTTCATTTTGTTGTGAGTGCATTGGGGAACTGGCCATTTCTTGGCATCTTGATGCAGCTGGACCATCTGTTTTTGGGACCTTAGCCGGAAATCTTTCACAAACAAAGCTAAGAAGGAATCTGGGTTTGACAAGCAAATGAAGCCATGGAACTCTTTGGTGAATCCATTGACAACACCAGCCGTGTAGATCTGACCCATTTGCTCATCGGCAGTGGAGAGGTTCTTGGTGAGTTCACAAACCTTCTCCAAGAGCCTGAAATCAACATGGATTACCTGTGACCACAAGTCCATTTGCATAAGTTTTGTCGTTTTGTCCCTCTCAAAATGGCAGTGTTTCTGGTCATCATGTTTCTTTCGATCTCTTACAAGTTAATTGGTAGCCAGGCTACTGAGTAATGAGTTGATTTGGAGAAGCAATTGCCTTCAACTTTTTTCTTCCTCTGAAAGCTTCTCAACCCTCTTGGTGATACAACGGCTAATGGAAGGGAGAATCGTATAGAGCGGCTTATCCTTCTCCACCTCTGGAAACTTGACCTGCTTAAGAACTTCTTGCTGTGTCTCCGCAGCAGCTTCCTCGAGGCCATCTGAGGATTCACTCACCTCTTCATCGGGCTGACCTAGGCGCCCCAATGTCGCACTACCAAGCCACTGAAAAAGCACGCAACTGAAGAACACCTTCCTTGGAAACAGAAACAGCAGAAATAGATAAACAGTCCAATTCAACCATTTGACCTTCCATCATCTCATCGTCATCAAACATCGCAAATTCAGGGTCCACCTTCCGGATTTTTCCATCCAGTTTTTTCATTGTGGGACCGTCTCCCAGCTCCTCTTCCACCAGCTCCTGAACAATGTCGCGACGCGTTCTCCTTAGTTTTCACATGTGTGTTTGGACGCCTGGAGAGTGGCTTGTTTTTCCATGCGAACCTAATGCAAACTAGGTTCTTCTTCTGTCCTTTCTGAGAGACCAGGACCCAGTAAAGAATCCCCTCGCCGTAATCACTCTTCCTCTTGAAAGCAAAGACGTCTCCAAGAACACTTACATCCCTTTTTCAACCAGAAGCTGATGCCAACAATGAGCGAAACAATCAAGCAATGTCTCCTCGTGTATCCTGGCTTGTTTGAGCAGTATTTCTTGACTCCACGTATCTTTTTCCTTGGCTTATGGTTTGTGCATGGAATCCAGAAAAAATATTTTGAACAGATCTGATGCACTGTTCCAGAAAAAACACATTTGCTTTGAACAAATGATTTGATGCACAGTTCGTTCGGTCTGACTTGTTTCTCCCACTGTCGAATCAAAAGTTCCACTCCACATACAATTGGCTCGAGGCACTCGGACCAACCAAGCTCCTTCATGTCATCTTCAGACAAGAACTCATAGTTGCTCTCTAGGCTGGTTTCATTCACAGACTCATAGATCCGTCGTACCTTCTGAATGAAAACCTCCTGAGACAGGTTGTGTCCCAGTGTCCATAGGGAACAATCTTGGCACAATGTCTACAATTCCGAGGTTTTAGTAATAATTATACAGTAGACAACAAAACTTTCTTTTGAAACTGAGAGTCCCGTTGGTATCCGCTTTTCTCGAACAGTGCCTCTACCCGACCACGTGTTCGTTCATCACGGTACTCATCCACAACTTCCTTTGGAACCTTGAACTTGCCACTGGCTTTTGGCTGGACCAAACGCCAAAGCCGTTTCTTGATAGCCCCCCTTGTCAGCTTTGGGGGTGGTGGACGGGTGGGTACCACAGCATCGTCTGGACTTGCCTTTGCCAGAGCCCTTTGGTCCCCCGAACTCACCTCCAAGAATTCATCATCACCTTTTGGCAAAGGTGGGGCAGGCATGGCAGCTGGGGCAGCTACCTCTGGCGCGATTGGGGCATGTACCTCTGGTACCTCTGGCACAATTGGGGCATGTGCATCTGGAGAATTCTCTAAAGGTGCCTGAACAACTCCAGGGTCCAAAGGTTGCGGTGACACACTGGGAAGTGAAGCATGCACTGCAGCGGGTTCCTCGGGGACTGGAGAATCCTCAAGTTCAATAACTGCCTGGGTGGCAGGAATGGTCTCTTGGGTGGCAGGAATGGTCTCGTTTGGAGGTTCGATCACATTTGGCATCTCCTTTGCCAAATCCGAGTGCGACTCTGCTTGGGGCATGGCGGAAGCCTGCACCATCACAATGAATCTGGAAAAGGTTTCATCAAGAGCAAAAGACAGCTTATAGTATTCTTTGGGGTGTGCCTTAAATTGTTATCCGTTTCAACCAATGTCTTTGCGCAAAATCGTGTGAGAACTTATGGCCTGAACACCATGGTGTGCCACATCCGTTTCTTCTGGTTTTTCCTCCGCAAACAACTTCCGATTGGTGGTGTCGTGCTTCTTCCGTTCCAATGCAGCCTCACCAACACTTCCAGCAGCCCCGTGAACTGGTCGGACTCTAAAAACAACTTCAATGTGTCTTTCCAAAAGAAGGGATTCTTTAGCTAGGAAGCAAGCAAGCGTTGTCTCTCTTCCTCCATTTGTTGGTAGAGCGGGTCCGATGATAAAGACATGGTCGCCGAGCGTATCAAACCGAGACCCCTGTCTAATGTTTCAGTAGACATCGTTTCGAGCACAAAATTTGCTACATTTAAGCAGTTAAAAGTGATAGAAAAGTGGGACGCCTAAATCCGCCTTTTTCCCGCCGATTTCCGCCCTTTTCCCGCCGATTTCCGCCTTTTCCAAAATTGACAATTTTGCTGCCGTGTACTTCAAAACTGGAAAAGTACACAAAACACTGAACAACTCACAGTGCAATGTTTCATGCCAGTGCTTGTAACCCTTTTGTCCAATTGTGCGCAGTCATTTCTATAGTTTGTCCAAGAAGTTCTTGTACACACGTGCAAAGGAAGCTGGAACATTCAACTTTGTTGTTGACTTTGCTAAGTACTGGATACATGATACGATCCCGGCATCTCTCCACAGGTCACCATCCTCCATTCCCTCAAACACGACCTCCAGTGGAGTCTCCATGTCCACCTGACACTTGCGCGCAAGAAATGAGCTCCTGCATGTTTGGAAAACAAAGCTCTCCCAAACGCTGTCTCGAAAAGCACCTTGGGAAGACTTGGTGCCGTGGTAAACAATGACTTGCGCAACCGAAGAACACGCGCACAGAAAGATGGTGTGTACTGCCTTGGATTTGCAGACGTATACTTCACAAGTGTAGGACAATGCTACATAACCAGCTCATGTACATACAAAATTCTTTTGTTTTGCAACCCGAAACACTGTGATTCTTTCAAGTGGGACGTCCCAGTATATCTAGAGCATCCTTGCTTGTCCTTGTATTTCCGTGCTGTTTGAGTCAGGTTCTTGACCTTTTTTGTTTGGAGCTTCCCGAGCGAAAACTTCCACACATTCCAGGAAGTACTCCACAACCGTGTAGGCTTGTAGTTTGGATGCGCATAATGCTTCATCCAGAACGCTTGTCTCCAAATCTTAGCCGGAACAGCAGTTAAACAGACTACTAGTTAAGTGTTTGACACCTGCATACATTGTAGGTTCAATGTTCGTGCTTCTTTAAGCAAAAGAACTGAAACGTTTCTTCTTCTCAGCGTTTTGAAGAGCCATCTCATTCTGTCATGATGAAATAGGAGTGAGGACATTGGCTGTTCAATGAGCGGAACAGCTCCAGCTGCGATGAGCAAAAGCACATACAAAGAAAACCTGACAAGTTCATTGGTCCATGTAACAAACCAAGAGGAATCATCAGCCAAAAACACAGAATCACTGAACAGATCCCGTCAACATGAAAAATGCGCCTCGCCACCATTAAATTGGCAGAGTCAACCGAAGGTTGACCTGCCAAGCCCATGGGACACAGTACATCCCTCATACTCGTCCCGGAATTGATCTGAACCCATGATGAGCATTGTATCCCCATCAAGGCAAGGAGATATCCGAACTTGCCATGGACCACGGCCAGGATGGCAAGTCTTAGTTTGTTCAACCAAAGGGGCCCATAACTCAGTTTGTCGCAAGGAAGGGTTCATGACTGCCATGTTTGGTTGAACAAAAAAGCATGAAAAACAAACAATGCTAGGAAAGAAACATCAGTCCAGATGGTGAGTTATAATCCATTGAAGATCTTTCATGTTTATCATAGAGCAGGTCATGGGCTTGTGAAGGGATTGCACAAGCCTTTGCAAGACGACACAGCCGCCCAGTTCCAGCAAACAGCTCCAAAACCTCAATCTCTTGAGGTGGTGTTGGAACATTGAGCCATCCAACCATCATGATGAGCATGACCCATACCTGAGCTTCAGCTTCCATCCAACACTCACTCATTGCAGCCTCAAAGCAGAGGTAGCAAATTACAAATCATGCACAGTCAAATGTCACCAAAGCTACCTTCGGAGATCCTAGGTAGATGAGACGGCGGATTGTCATTTCAAGCTCCAAAGGCGTCATGGCTGATTGAGGTGAACCGTGCGGTATTGGCAAACGGTTTGAACAAAGAAAGCTGACCAGCGCAGACTCCTTTGGAAACGTTTCCATTGCAAGTGAAACACGTGCAAGCAACAAACTGGCCAGGTCCACCTGCATGTCCGTACTTGCAAAAAGCCGCCAGAAATCGGGGCATCAGATCAAGGTGTACCTGGAGCCAGCTCCAATCCTCCAAAGCCTACTTCCTTCTTCGAACGTACGCGAGAAAAGCGACTACGCCAAATCAAATACTTTTCTTTCCCCTTGCCCACGTGTGCTGAGATTGCACGCAGGATCCCGAAACAACGGCTTTCTAGGATTTCTGGTGAAATCCTGATCCTCACATCCCCGTAGCCCTGCCACTCACTACTCTTCATGAGACAGAAACAACAGCTCTCAAAACCTAGAGAACATTGAAACACAAGTATACTCAAATTCACACTGTACGTGGTTTCAAAGCGTCTCCAATTTTCAATGCAGAGCTACTTCTGAAGGAGCTCCAAAAACTGCTTTGCCCACTCGGCAGCAAACGTCGGAAACAGGTCACTTCCCTGCTTCTCTTTTGCCAACGCATTCCATTTCTCAACCGAAAAAGACCAAAATGGGTCCTGCAGAAAATCAAGAGCAAACTATCCCTAGACAAAGGAGGGAATGAAAGGCAAAAAAGATAATGACACTTGGTCCTCCTGTGCGCTGGGCCGTGCCACATTGTTCTGGATGTGTTCTACAAAAGCCGTGGACAGCGCTTTCCACCACAGCTGAGACGCAGTGCGCTTGGGTTCATACCGACGGGCAAATGTTCGCTTCTCACCCCCTGATGCTCGCTTCGCTTTCTTCTTAGGTGAACTGGCCTCCGACTTACGGTTCTTACTCTTGGTGGCACTTGTGTTTGGCGCATCCTGGGGATCCTCCTTTGTCTTTGCCTTTGATTTTGCCTTTGCTTTGGTGGACGTGTTGACCTTCGCCTTTGCCTTAGCACGTTTCTTCGGGGATACCTTCACCTTCGCCTTTCCTTTTCCCTTCGCTTTGGTTTTCTTTGACGCTGCAGGGCGTTTCATTTTTTTGAACTGCTGGTAGACTTCGTCTGTGTGAAGCATCTGTTCTTCGCGATCCAAGGCTTCCTCTGCAGTATGGAAAGGGGATGAGCGACTCAAGTGAAAACAGAAAGCAAAGGACAACAGAACAGGTAGAGAAAAAATCCAGCCTGCCCGGCTGCAAGCTGTTGTAAAGTCGGACTGCAAGTCTGGGATGCCACGACTTTGCTAGGAGTCATGGTGGGAATCGCAGGCTGGCCCCCTTCCACCTGCCCTTTCTCGACTGCGACCTGCACTTCACTTGGCTCAACTGGGCCCTGTTGCATCAATGTTGGACTTTCAGACAGAGGCTTCTGGTCCACTTCTTGTTCACTCCCTTTGGGTTCACTGGATTTGGCATCAGACAAAGCTAAGTCAGTGGGTGGCTCGGCTGCAGGCAGATGTGCACCAAGGTCACCCGCTTCCCCTGAAAACAAAAGGACTCGTTCTGTTTATAACATGAACGATGCCTCTACAGTCTCAACAGACGACGGCGATGAACTGAACAACTGGCCTGACATAGACTCTGCAATTTGTGTTGCGTCAAAAGCCAGCGTCTCGTGATTGTCAGGCACTGGTGGACCTAAAAACATACAATGTCTAGAAAATAACAGGGCATCACACTTTCATGAAGCTAAGTCTTTGTCCTGTCCATTTCTCAGCTGCGTCCACCCCTCTCAGAACCATTCGCCGCTCTGCCATTCGCTGCCTAACAGAACAAAACAAAGGACAGAACCAGCTAATCATCAGATCATCGAAAACAAACCAGGGTAAGAACTCAAGTGCTTGCTGTACGGCCATGTTACTCAAGAACGAACAGTTGGTGCTCCAAGGAATTGTGTGCGCTCTGATCATCGAGACCTTTGGGTGATGTCCAGATCGAACCTGGACTTGCCGTCTTCTTGAGAGTACCCCCAAGTGTCCAAGCTAAGTACTCGTCATCCTCCACACAAACTCTAGATGAAGGTGGCGTGGTTGGCTCTGAAACCATCTGGGACTCATCATGAGTTTCCTCAACATGACTAGCCCCTTCGCTTCCTGGCTTTGGCTGGCTGGAAGCAACAACAGGCTCCTCTCCAGCTATGTCATGGACTGGCTCAGGCTCCTCTTCACAGGCTGGCTCGGTGCCCTCATGAGCACGGTCCCGAGCTGGCCAGTACTCCTGCAAGCACCTGAAGACTTCAGCCACACTTGGATCCTGAGCAGTCAAATCGAAACAAAAAGTGAACTACGAGTCTGATGAAGGCACGGTGTCATGAGCTGTCACTGGTTGAAACATGAACTTACAATAGCGCGACCAAGTCAACAACCAGAAGTAAACAACTACAAAACCACAACCATCGGCCTCGGTCTTCAACTCATTTACAGGAAGGGTCTTGGGCTTGTCCATCTGGGAACACCACTTGCGGATCACTACTTTCAAGATCTCGCTGTTGCACGCGACGCTCTCAAAGGAAATGACTCCAGTCTGTTCAGTACTTGGCCACTCAAGCACAACCCTCGATTTCAAACATTTGCGGCGGGTGTGCTTGTCACACTCCAAATCATCCGCCAAACCACTCAAAAGCTTGAGGGATTTTTGCCGAGTAATCGCCATCACTATGGAGCAAAATTGTAACTTACTCCCTTGATGTCACGAAAAGGGGCTGCGAAGAAAAAGTAAGTCAGTCCCACCCTCAGCCCTAAACAGGAACCACGCACGCGCTGCTCCCATGTCCTGTGCAAAACTTCGGGGTACAGGTCCAAGAACATCTGGCTCCAGACCTGTGCAAGAGAAGTCAAAAAGGGTCAGGAACCGAGACTAGAAAAAAACAATTCGAGATTGAACAGAGTGACATAAGTTCATTGACCCAGCCTTTGGATACATAGCACCATCGTCAATCTGAGACGCTTTGGCCTTCCCAGTGGTCACAATCATAAATGAATGAGTGGTCAACATACCGTGGCCTCGTTCAGGTCCCACCACCACAAGGCCATGGTATGTACCTGCGGTGGACACATCAGCAAGAAAAAAATAGTAATTTGTTGGCGCCTCCTTGATTGAGGAAAGTTGCTTTTTGTTTGGATGGTCGACGCTCTATCTTCATGAGCGATTATTGCTCAATGAGTGTAATCGGCACCAAAATTGGGTGACCTCTCTGTAAAGCAACAACTAATGTAACTATCTCACTATCTCTATATTCAAACAAATCAATGACACACGGCCAAAGACCACCTGGACAAAGTCCACCCAAAACAGAAGAACACTCAGACTCACGCCGTTTGTCAGGGTTCCATTTGTGAGTCCTGAGGCTGTGAATCAGTCCACTGCTCGATTGGAGGTATCTCCTCATTTGGTCGCGCTCCCTCCGCCTTACCTTAGGCTGGGTCGAATCCAGGAATTGAAGATCATGCATGTAAAAGAGTGTCAAAAGAACATAACGCAGTTTAAGTCACGCTCACTTTCCCAAGTCTTCAAAAATTTAGCGAGCTCGAACACCGAACCATGGGCTTCATAGTTGGCCTTCATCAAGGAAGCCCTAGTCAGGGACAATTTCTCCTGCCCAGGCTTTCATCAAAACTATATAGAGCGATTATAATCACAAACAGGCAGCAACTAAAGTGGGCAACATATAATGTCTTTTTTGATACTCCTCAGGCGGCTCCAGTGGCCATAGGATTTTCTGCACTTCCATGTACCAGTGGAGTGGAAACTCATGAAGACCTATCCAGAGTCAAAACCAGACAGTCCAGCAATGAGTGAGCAAATGAGAAAGGCAAGCATTCAAGCCCCACCTACTGACTGCAACACTTCATGAACATCAGGTTCAAAAGCAGGAGGGGATACTGCAGTCATTTTGAGCAAAAATGTTGCCTACCGGGCGGATGTTCAGACAAAAGCAGCTCTCTGAAAGCATTCACGAATCAAAAAAGCGGGATGCGTACTGAAAAGCAAGTTCAGGCTCCTTCAGTTTCTATCTTGAGCCCACTGCAGCTTGTCTGGAGCACTGAAGCACGATGAAATTCCATCCAAACAAAAACGCGCCCAGAAAAACAAAAACGCCTCCAGGGATTGTTGAAATCCCAAGTTCCGCCCCTGGACGCAAAAAGGCGCCTTTTCACAGCCGGAGCAAAAATAAACGCCTTTAGGATCCTATAGGTATAGTGATACTTGTTCAAGAAACTGTTCCAGTTTGCAGGGTCTACCTCGGAGGCATCGAGATCGATGCCACCTCTGGTTTTGGCCACGAGTCCTGAGGTCTGTTGGGGCAACTTGCAGCAGCCCAAGGTGTCTAAGACACAGGGCAAGATCATGTCAAAGCTGCTCCGCAGGATGGAGATCATACCTGGGCACGATGGAGCTGATATGAGCTGATCTAGCTCTGAGTTCTGCCAGGAACTCCATGCAAGGTTCATGGCCACTTGCACAAGCATCTCTCAAAAGCACCTGGAGTCTCAAAGTACCTCGCAAAATGGGTACAGTCGTACCTGCTTTTTATGGGCTCATGTCCCATTTTCTAAGGTACTGGGTCAGTCGGGTCCAGGTAGCAGGGTTACCATGGCTCAACTTGGGCTATGCAAGAGTCCGGCGCTCCTACGAATGGACCAATCACGAACTGCGCGAACGGCGTGTCTTTCTCTGCCACTCCCCGCCGTTGCTTTGGGGTGTTTCGCTCTTTCTGCCCCCCAAAAAAGCATGCAACAAAGAGTTCATGCACTGCATGTATGAAAGTTGACCATTGGGGGTGGTTTTCAATGTCCCGTAGC